GTGGATGGATGGATGGATGGATGGATGGATGGATGGATGGGTGGATGGATGGATCGATGGATGAATGGGTGGATGGATGGATTGGTGGATGGATGGGTGGATGGATGGATGGATGGATGGGTGGATGGATGGATTGGTGGATGAATGGGTGGATGGATGGATTGGTGGATGGCACCACAGAGGTCCGGTTCAGGGACTGCAATGACCTGAGGAGTCTAGCAGATAGCTAATGGCTCTTAATGGATAACTTTAAGCCTTAGAACATTTTAAACAGAAGCGTTATAAAAACACTCCTGTACAGTTTTTATAAAGTGGGAGATTAGCTATAGAGACCAGCTGTAAACAGTCTGTGGAGACTGATTCACTTACACTTGGTTTGCACTTTGTATTTTCAGCCCTGCGTTTGCCATCGATGAGATAATCAGGGGAAAAGTCTGCCAGCATCTGAATGGAGGTTTCTGGAAACTGTTTAATCTAAATGTAAAATCTGACCAGAAGTATTATGATAATAATTTTAATTTAAACTGGCGGCTTAAAGGATGAATTTATAACTGAAAAACCTAGTCTGAGGCCTTTTAATAGTTAATAATTAATAATCCATTTCAAACGAAGTGTAACCTTCATGTCGCTGCGTTTAAAATCACTCTGGAGTTTTTGTTCACCTGTTGTTGTGGTGTGTTTTTGTGGGTCTGCGTTACACAATGAAGGTGAAAGTCTTTTCCGTGTACCTGAACACTACGCGGGGAGGTGCTGACAGCAGACGGGAAGAAGGAAAGAGGAAGGAAATGGAAATTAGCTCGTCGGCAGTGTCTACCTGCTGGCAGGACATCTGACATCTCACTGCGCCGCCACCAGGACTTGAAACTACCTCTGTTACCTGCCTGAGCTCGGTGACACACTACACACAGAGGCTGCTAAAACTTTAGAGCAAAGTGGGGAACAAGGACAGAACGGTATTTATGAAGCAGGTTGGAGGCTGGAGAGCCGATTTCACATGATGTTTGTGTGGAGGAATTAGGGGGAGGAGGCACCATGGTAACAAGGAAGCTGGTGCTGCTCTTATCTATGGAAAAGGTCCATCTTTACCTGTAAGGTTCACACCAACACGCTTCATGTGGTTTGCATTCATGAAAAAGTAAGAAAATGCTCTGGATGTCATCGCTTCATCAGGTAGTGGACTTCTGCTTACACTAGAGCCCACCACCATGAAGCCCACTGTGACACAGCCACAGAAGACTGGGGTGCAAACTCCAGGTCGGGAATGAGTTGCTGCTCCAAGTGCAGGAGTTCAAATACTTCAGGATCTTGTTCACAAGTGAGGGGAGAGCGGAGTGAGCGACTGATAGATGGATAGATATGTGAATGTCAGATGTGACGAAGAGAGAGACGTGATAGTGAAGCTTGCTGGTCAATCTGCGGTCCTACCCCCACCTATGGTCATGAAGGCAGATAGAAGTGGATGGAAATAAATATCCTCAGAAGCGCAACTGGACTCCTAGACTGCTGCCCGGTTAAGAGATGAAACTGGAAACCCACAAAACTCCTATACCACATAAGTGAAGGACCAAATCCCCACCAGTAAAGTGTACATTTTAGGACATCCTCAGGTCTCAGGAAAAAAGTCGTCAGGTCTCAGAGACCTGATGACTTTTTTCCTGAGACCTGACATTTTTTTGTCTGAGACCACTTCCCAGTTTTACTTCTGAAACGGTGCCTCTCTAAGACTCTTTTTATATCCAATCACTAACCTGCTGCCAATGAACCTGGTTGGCTGCAAATGTTCCTCCAGCTGTTTCTTTTTAGGACCACTTACCTTTCCTGCCTTTTGTTGCCTACCACGATCTCTCCAGCAGTGAAAATAACATGAATAATTAAAAAAAATGTAAAATTTAATTTGGATAATTAGGAATTCCAGAAATCACACATGCAGTAGACTGAGTTTCCCCACTTCTTTTCATAGGAAGTTTAAATCCCACATTAATGAAGATAACTGGAATATTTTGAGGAATATTTCTATGTAAACATCATAATTTGCTGTTAATCTAATTAAAAGCATATTGGAAGGAGAAGAGGAGGTGGCAAAGTGGAGAAAATGAGCAATAAAAAATTCTGAATGATTTAAATAATTTCCTTTGATGGGTACAGGATATTATACATACACAGTGTGGAAGGACGAGACGCACGGGCGTGTTTATCAAAGGAAACGTGTGATCACAAGTCTAATGTGCCAAAAAGCCCAAACACGCTGCAGGATCTGAACATTGTTTCAATCTTCTGGTTAATTAAAAACGCAGTAATTAGCTGAATGATGACTTTGAAATAAAGGAGATAATTTGAAGTGAATGAGGAGGCTGTTACCAAGCTGGGAGCTGAAAAATGGGGGGAAAGGGAATCTGGCATTGAAAGTAAAGCTCTGAGGTTTTTGTATTCAGCCTTCAGCAGACGACACCAACAGCCATCTCTGAATTATGCTGTTAACACTTGTCAGCTCAGTTAATTGGCTGGGTCGCTGCTTTAAGATTGATACTGGGAGAGCAGAGTGAGCAATTAAAAAGGAAAGATAATTTAAAACTATAAAAAAATAAACCTGTAACCAGCTGGCAAGAGCGGGCAAGTCGGGAGAAGTCACGGCTCTGGAGATGTCGGTATTTTGTGACTGAACACAATCCCAGCTGCGGTGGAGGGTGCTGTCATTTTCTCTTTTCACCTCCAATCATTTCAATTTTACTTCCAGCATGGAAAGTTGCCCACGCTCGCCGATCCCCGTCAGAGGGGAGAAAAAAAGCCAGCCGCTGGAGAGAGGCGGCAACAAACCCACTCAGCTTGTGTTTGTATCCCACATATAAATGGTTTCCATCAGAACAAGTACACAGGACGGGGCTCTTTAACTTATCTGCCTTTTTGTTCTCTGTGCAGCCCGTCCCGCTGTTTCGGTCCAAAATCAGCCGTAATGAAAGCAACATCATCAAAACTCAAAGCCGACATGGCGAGAAAACTTTTCCAGAGGAAACCAAGCTTGGTAGTTCGGTAGTTTTTGGCGCGCTGTGATGTAAATGATGCTTTAAAGGAGCTCATTTGTGTTCTTTTCAGAGCAACATTTAAATCGAGCTGAGATTTTATCCAAACCGATGCAGACGTGTCGGGAGAAACGGTTAAAGCAACGAGCTAAAGAGGTTAGCACAGACGTCGCTATTGCCCCAGTTAGACCAGAACTACAGGAGATTTGTTAAAGAGCAAAGAACAGCACAAAGCATAAAAGATGGCTGCAGGAGGCCGTAAGTCTTTGTCAAAGGAGTCCAACATGAGTGGAAGAGTCAGCGAAGCTCACTTCTGTCCGATGACAGTGATACTGAGGTGGGGCGTGGCTGTTTTATCTAACGTTGTTGGAATGAAACTGAATAAACTCTCATATCATGGGGAAATGTATTCAAGGGCCTCACAGCTAACACTAACTGGTTTAACCAGCTGTTGTGTAGCCGGCTCTGGGCAGCTGTCTGGAGACGGGAGGGTCACATGTCTAATCTGCTGGCAGTAAGTGATCCTGACAATATCGGGAATGAATGAGCGTGTTCATGTGTTACAGTCAGCTTCAAACTAGCTCCCAAAACAGCATAAATAAGTATTTGAAAAGCTAAAAACAAAATTCTAAAACTGAAAAAACCCAAAACAAATGTAATCGATAAAAATAAAAAAATATTGAGGGATGCTAACTGATTGACAGCTGGCAGCTTGATTCTTGGACTCTACTAGAGTAGCTTTGCATGATTCCCTGCTTCAGTCTCTTGATCCATCTGGTGTCTGAAACAAGCCGTCTTAGTTTCATTAAAAGCCATTCTACCTTTAAGCCACCTTACTCCGGATTGGCTGCCTCTTGTAAACAAAACAATGAACAATGTAATTTACTCCAATCTAAACTAGTCTGAAAACTGACTTATATCTAATGATTGGACCTCATCTATCAAAAGCACGAGTTCACATTTCCTCAGGGCCCCATTGGTTCTGCCCCGTTTCACAGCACAGGAAGTCGGGAACGATGGACTTCCTGCTATCAGAAGTTCACTGATGGAGAAAGTTTGTGTCACGTGCTCTGAATGTCTCGTGTGACTTACCTCGTTGACGAACACCCAGTGACTGTCTTTGGAGGCCAGATTTGTTTCCACTGCCTGCAGACACACAGAGACACAGAGACGAGGGGTTAATAACGAGGACCGCCCAAAGCCGATTTAATCACACGCCGCTTCTCAGAGGATGACGCAGCATTTTATCACACTTCAGGTTCAGCAGCCAGATCTTGCAGTGTGGTCTCTGAGGAGCAGCTGCTGTACCGACACCACAGCTGCCTTGTCTGCCTTTGTTCTCGCCCGTGTCATTGCAGTGTGCACGTTTGAAAAGTTCAAGTCGGCCTCTTCCCCTTCGTCTTCCTCCTCCGCTGTCACGGCTCGTCCTGCCAAAATGTCGAACAACAGAGGCTTTTGAGAAAGTGAGTGGTTTGCACTTAGCAAAGCCCCCGGAGCTCGGCCGGTCCTCTGCCACCATGTGATAATCCTAATAACACGCAGCATCCTACAGATGACAGCACAAAGTGGAGCAGAGCTCAGTGCTGCAGATCAGCTTGGACCAGCTGCTAATAATGCAAACGCCCCCAAAACATGACAGAACTGTGGAGTTATCTCAAATAATGACGCGATATCATGAAGAAGAAGTAAAATAACTGTAAAACACCCATAATGCTCATTGCTTCATGATTCAGTTTTAAAAATAAACCTTTATTCTCCCTGAGTGACGCTTAATTCTGACATTTACACTTGGCTCCACCCGAGATGGTTGAACAGCAAACCCTGTATTGTCTCAGAGGTGAAAGGTTGATGGAGGCAGGGATGTATCTGAGTGCGTGCCCACACGGCGCCGCACGCCAGCATATGGTCTGACTGCAGAGCCGTGTGGGTGTTGTTCTGCCTTCTGGCTCCATGTTTAGAAGCAGCATATTTAAACCAACGATCTCACGGAGTCGTTAGCTAATGATCGAAATTATATGAAGTAAAAAGTAATATTTCACAGTGATAATAAAAGAACGAAAGGAAACATCTGGTCTGAAGTATGACTGAACACACACGTGCTGTACGTCTCAAAATGTGATCGTGCTACTGAATGAAAAATGAAATGAGAACATTCCTGGTTTATTCTTTTTATTAATGCTTCGTAACAAATATCAAAGTTTGTTGGCCGAAGAAAAACTGCTGCTGTATCCTGATAAAGGTTTGAGTGTTTATCTGCGTAGGTCTTCAGTCCAGGTCACACTAGTCCTGAGAAGAACTGGACTTCTTTAAGTTTCACCTCTCATCCAATCAGCTTCTTCAGTCCGAGGTATTCAGCCTCTCGTGGGGGTTGTCCTCTGAAGCCATCGATGTCCACTGAATGCCTACCAGTGACCAGACGTGGTGGCTTACGACACCAGCAATCCGCCACTGAATCCCTCCCCAGGTGCTTCAGCCTGAACAAGTCTAGTTGCCTCCTGTAGGGAGTGCAGAGGTGTTCACACCTCAATGGAAAGCAGCTGTCAAAAAGTTGCGTGTTTCATTACACACCAAGCGTGCCTCAAAAAATGGCACGAAGTTCACATTTTTTTGAGATGCAAAAATAAAAAAAAAAGAAATCGTTGATCTTCTGCAAATAAATCGTCTCCAAAAAACACTGAAAAAAAATGAAGTCGATATCAAATGATGAAGAGCTGGTGCTGATGTTTCTGAACAAGAACAATAAGTAATATTGGGGAAAAAAAACAACTAAAAAATGCCGCAAAATCTTACAGCATAATTATGCAGTCATTGCAAACGGCCGAGCCCGAAAAAGTCTGGTGTGTAATGGCCTTCTTTGCTAAGTTGGGGGGACCACCAAACATTTTTAAAGCACTTTTCAGAGGATAGCCAAGAGCTAGCTAGCAGTAAACAGCCAGCTAGCAGTAAACAGCCAGCTAGCAGTAAACAGCCAGCTAGCAGTAAACAGCGAGCTAGCAGTAAACAGCCAGCTAGCAGTAAACAGCGCTAGCAGCAGCGTAGAAACAGCCAGCTAGCAGTAAACAGCTAGCTAGCAGTAAACAGCCAGCTAGCAGTAAACAGCTAGCTAGCAGTAAACAGCCAGCTAGCAGTAAACAGCTAGCAGCAGTAAACAGCCAGCTAGCAGTAAACAGCTAGCTAATTTTTCAGCCATTCAAAAGATATGTTGCTAAAAAAATCACATATCTCATCAAATGCAACAAAGGGCACAGAAGATTATATTTTTAAATAGATATAAACACAAATTTTTATCATGTTACCTATGCTAATGCTAATATGTCTGCATGTAGCATTCTAAAAGCCTGTACCTGACTGCAGTGGTGATTCACTGATATCACCTGCTGCCTGAAGCCTTTTCAGACCTTTTTCACGTGTCACATCAGGTAATTTCATTTCCAGTGGCTCCGTTCCAAGAGGCTAACTGTCAGGCATGATGATGAGCCAGCATGCCTGAAACTAGCTCACCTGAATGGGGAATGGTGCCAAACCTGCCTGCTGTTCAAAGGCTCTGCGTGCTGGATTCCTGTCATAGCTCCGAGCTACACCTGAATACAACAGAGCCATCGCTCATTCATCATTAGCATTTTACAGACATCCTCTAATGAGCAGGACCAACCCTTGTGACAGATTCTAACAAAACCAAACTGTGTCCAGTCCTGGCTTTGGGAACAAATACCTGAGACGAGGCATTTGAAACAGGTTTTCCACATTATCCATATTCAGACAGTGGAACGCAGCCAGGAAGTTGGTGGAGTCAGAAGAAGAATCTGTGTTTGGGATATTACATCACTGAGTGCATTCACTTCACACACACAAACACACACACTAAACAAGAGTATTCCCACACAGCGTTCGGCCATGAATATCAGTTCGTGTCACGTCTTTGCTCTCTGTCCTCGGGGCTCGGACTGACAGATGTTTTCTAACAGGTTCCACATTCGGCTTCCAGATCAACAAACGCTGACACACTCGTGAAGCTCCACACAAGCAACAACCTCGAGGATAAACAGCTCGTGAACTGCATGTCCACAGAGCTAACGCGCACAGACGTTTTTAGAAAGAAGTGTTTTTCCCACATTTTATTTGTGCACATCTGCTATGAGCAGATACACCAGTCAGCTGCACGATTCATGTGCAGAGCGAGTGAGGCTGATCGCCATGTGACAACACGGCGTTCTGCCCTTCATGTGGCATGCATCTCATTGCACCCCACCCACCTTAAAGACTTACAACCAAATAATGAATGAGAAGTCAATACTGATGCTATGTGAAGTGATGGAAACCAGTCGGTGTGTGTACATGATGTCAGGTTAACCTATAGCAAAGGCCACAGCACCTGTTCTCATAACACACCTCACATCTCCCACGTGGAGATGTCACCATAACCTTTATTGGACCTGGATAGAGTGCGAGCGTTCTCACGCACGCCTCAATTGCCTCCGTCCTCCCATCCAACTCCGTCCTTCCTCGCTGGTGTTATTTAGATTCTGCCTCTGGGTCCTTACTTCCTGCTCGGTCATTAAAATGCAGCCCACATTTCCCTCTGGTTTATTTTCTGCTACTGTGGGCACAGAAATTGGTTATCAACAACAATTACCCGTCAACCCTGAAGGTAAAAACATGTATATTGTAGCTTTTAATGACGAGTGTGGGTGAAGAGGGGAGCTTGCAGAAACACGATGAAGCAAAGGCTGAGAAGAAAATAAGAGAATAAAAATGTATGGAGTGGAATTAATTCACGATATAAGAACTGGCAGAACATGCTGACCTTGTTATTCCCGACGGACTCGCCGTGCACCGTTCATATAATTGCATTATCCAAAATATTTCTTACATCAATCTCGCTATTTTTTAAGAGCAGTCTTAGTTGAGTTTGGCTGCCGTTCAGATGTAATAAATTTATGCTTTTAACTCACAGCGAGAATGGACAGCTGAACAACATGGAGGCTGCGAGTCTAACCAATCAGAGAGGAGTTTCAAAATTCAAGCTGCGTTCGGGAGGGTTTTATAAACCACACTCACATTCCACCATTAAAGTTTCTCAGCATCCTTGAGACCAAATAATTGGCTGTTCTATGTTTCTTTACTCATAAAACATTTGTGAAAGCTATTTTTGGGGTTTCTTTTTTCTGTCTGGCTGCCAGAAGCCATCTTCTTCCTGTTTTTGGCAGTTTGCTGCACATCTTGGCACTAACTGTAGATCGCTGGAACAGTGTCGTCGGCAAAGTGTGCCTCACCACAACACAGGAACACTGATACTAAGCCTTAAAAACACAGATCCATGATGGCGTCTTTAAGTGTTTAAAACCTGCACGAAGCTGCTGTGTTTAACCCTCCAAAGAAAATCAAACAGAGTTGGATTTTTCTTTCTTTCGGTCACTTAAAATATTTCCCGTCTCACAGATGCTCGGATGGAGGGTGATCATATCGTAACATTGTGGATAATGAGTCCAGTGTAATTAAAAGCTCAGTTTTTTCTATTCTTGACGTCAAACGGCAATCAGATTAAAGCTGTTTAAGTGCCCCGCCCCTCGGTAGGCTCTTTTATGGAAGCCTGTTTCCACCACTAAAAAAAAAAAAAAGGATCCATAACTCAAAATTCCGAGTTATTTTCTCGAAATTTCGAGTTACTTTCTCAAAATTTCGACATATTAACTCGAAATTTCGATTTATTAACTCAAAATTTTGACTTATTAACTCAAAAATTTGAGAAAAGTAACTCGAGTTAGCGCTGCCAATCAGTAATCTACGTGAATGACGTCATTTCCTTGTTAGCCGGAAGCTGAAGCCCTCAGCTACAAATGCTACAGCTAAGCTACCGGTATTACATCCAGTCGTGAATGCACAGATTGCTGAGTGTTTTCAGCCTGGCTTCACAAATGATGAAATCCCCGTGTTATTAGCTGAATCACACGGTGTTGCTATCAGCAAACGTACTCGCGAAAGTGCCAATTTGTTGGGATCCGTTTTTGAGTGCGCGTTCCTCTGCGCCATATGCTTCCGGGTAACAAGAAAGCGACCTCATTCACGTAGATTTTTGATTGGCAGAGCTAATTCGAAATTTTGAGAAACTTTTCTCGAAATTTGTTTTTATTTAGTGGCGGAAACGG